TGTATAAAAGTGTTTCTGAGTGCAAGGACTTTAAGTTGATCAAAATTGTATAAATTTTGTATTTCCAATATACGACAAAACGATTTATAATATCTGAAATGCGACACTTAACTCTATTCCTATAAAAAATCCTATAATATAAATTCTTGGAAAAAGTAACAAATGTATTTTATGAATGAATATATAAGTGAGAGATATATACAAAAAAGCAGTTATTCATTTATTTAAGAATATATTAATTTATTGTATTCTTTCAAAAATGTTCGATGCGATCAAGAACTGTATATTTGTCAAGATAGACGAAAATAAAATACAAATAAAATATATTGTACAATTATTAATAAAATACACATAGAAACTTTGCTTTTTGTTTCATGATAACATTTTCTATCATTTTTTTTAATTCTTTGCAAATTTTGAACGTATTCCGTATTTTCTTTGCATAGTAAATGTATTAAATTGTAAAGTAACTAATACGCAGGAAGTTACGTTCATCGCTTTTTAGTAAATAGACGAATATTTAAAATATTTAAAATATATATTTAAAAAATATCTTATTCATGCCCAGGCAATTCGTCAATTAGTGTACGCAAATCTCGTTCACTTTATCTCTGAATAATGATTCACTTTATGCGAAGATTATTAATACCAATGCAGGAACTCTATATATGTCGCGTAATAAACTATAGTTAAGGCTGCGTGTAGCAGTTGTGAAGGCCAATGTTTGGTTACGCGAACGAAAGCAAAGTTTATTTGTGCAAAAGGTTTATTTTCCTCTGTGAAGCTTTACCATCGAATATAAGATTTTATGGTTATATTTCTTGTTAAATCTTCACGAAAATACTTTTTCTGTATTTACGTAATTTATAGTATTTCCTCATTTAGAGATAACCGTATCGATTGATTTTTATTGAAATTGTTGTACATATAATGCGTCGTTTCTTGAAAGATGAATTATTTGACGTGATTCATCGTGATATATTGGATAATTATTCTTCATTGCAGAAATACAGTCGAACAATTTTGCAACTCCTTTTCGAATACATTCTAGTTTTATGCGTGAGTAATGATTCATCATAAATGTTTAATCCATTTCCAATGATATTAGAGAAAATAACTTTTAAATTTAATTAATATTAAATAATATTAATTTAAAAAAGTTAATGCTAAAAGTTTGCAAGTCAAATAAAATTTGAAATGTTTCTTATTCAAATAAAACGTAAAAAGTTCTTGAAATGAAATCGTACCTGTCCATAGTCCGTTTCCGCATCGTTGAAGAGCGATAGACGTATCTGCTGGATATTATGAAGACATCAGTAATAATCGAGCAGTTGAGAGCTATTTGTCGCATACTCATAGATTATGTAACAATTGTATCACAGTACAGTTACTACAATTGTTTCTATATTCTGTATGTTTTGATAAAAAGATCTTCAACGAGAAATCGATTTCCAACGTGAACAAAATAGAAATTTCAAATAAAATTATACGAATTGTATAAACTTTCACAGATTGGTTGCAAATGAACACTGGACAAAGTCATCTGCAGTTATGAGAAAACAACGTGCGTTTTTCGTACTGTGCTGTCTACTTGGATTAACGATTATTATCTGCATTTTTTGGGAGGACTTATCGGTGGTATTGATCACCGTCATCTCAGCCGATCATGTTTCCTGCTATTGGTGCAGATCCAGTAATATCATGGAACTTGGAGAAGGAGAATGGGGTTAGTCAAGCTATTATAAATTTTACTTCTTGTATTTCAAGTAGGTATATATAGAATGGAAATTTAATTTTATTAAAATAAAATAAAGAAACTCCCTTTCTCTCTCTCTCTCTCTCTCTCTCTCTCTCTCTCTCTCTCAAAAGTTTAAATATTAAAAATATTTTTAAAAAAACTTTAAATTATCGATACGAAAGAGAGAGAGAGGGGGAGGGAGAGAAGAGAATATGAAGTAGAAAACTACATAAAGAATATATTTTTTAAAAATTACATGCTTTTAAAAAATATCTATGTAGAATGAATATTTAGAAAAATTAAGTTAACAAAATGAAATAATTGTATCTTATCAATATTTGTTTAGCATTTAAAGAATTTACTTTACAAATTGAACGTAAAAGTTGGTATTATCGTAAACGATTTTTGTTCGATCAATATTACTTTATATTATTGGATAACGCAATAAAAAATGATAACAGAATGAAAAAAGCGATGCTGTTCTCTTCCATCTATAGTTAAATAGAGAATTAAATACATGGAAAAATTCCAAATTAAAATTAAATAATACATTTTCCCAAACTTACAATATTTTATATCTTGCGCTAGTAATAAATTATTATACCATGCAAATAGACTTTGCAGTTATCTATACGCAAGTCATACGAATTGATTATGAGATATAATTATCAAATAACAAATGTATCGTGACACTTTTAAAATGTATAAAATTCTACTTCAACTGAAGTACCTAAAGATCGTCGACAATGACTTCTGTCTCCTTGTAAAATACTTAGAGCAGCTGCAGCAATTTGCATATTCTCAAACATATTATTTTTAAGTAACTTATGTCGATCTTTTATCGAACATGTTTGCCAAAGGATATATATGTATATATGTATAACACTGCAGCTGCTATAAGTATTACAACGAGTTATTGTCGACAATCTTTAGGTACAGTTGAAGTAGAATTTTATATATTTTAAAAGTATCACGATACATATATTCTGTTATGATATATTCTTTGCAATTGTAAACTATAGACGACTCACGCGCGGTGTTCTTAATCTATATGCCACTGATTTTAATATGCATTCCTCGATCTATATACCAATGATTTTAATGTATACGCCTTGATCCATAAATATCACCGATTTTAATATGCAATCATTTACGTTAATTACTGAATATTCATGAGAATAAAAATATGCGATTATAAATAATTCTGTGTACTTAATCATATTTGTGTAATAGTGTAATTTATTCTTTTATATAATAACAACATAGCGTGTAAAATTTTATAGAATGAATTCGTTTTGCGATAAAATATTAAGATTTTGTCTTTTATTTTCAAATTTTTATTATTAATTTTTCAATTCTTAGATATATTTAATTATTATTTAATTATTTAGTATTTTTTGAAATATTTAGACTATCTTATTAAGTCAATATATCTGTTTCTGAAAATTAATTACAACTCAGAGAAATATTTCAATTGTGTAATAGAATATATGTATATTTAATTAATAAGTTATAAATTAATAAAATTTACAATATAATATATTATAGGATCGTATATGTGATAACACAAACTATAGAAATCAAAGCCTTATTGGTCTAGCTGGATCTTAAATGCTTGTAAGATTCTTGTGTGAATTTATATGCTACGTATGTAGTCCCCAGAAACGCGCGCCGAAATGATTTTTCGGTCTTGAAAACGCTAACTCTACTAAATTACCGCAGTAATATCACGAGTTAAATTTACTAGCAATTTAACAAATTTTTGATGCTTATTCGCATCTTCGAAACGATCTTAATAATATTGAATAACATATTAAAATCTATAATAATTAATTCTTATTGCGAAAAATATTATGAATTAATTATTTACAGATTTCAATATGTTATTCAATATTATTAAGATCGTTTCGAAGATGCGAATAAGCATCAAAAATTTGTTAAATTGCTAGTCAATTTAACTCGTGATATTACTGCGGTA